GAAAGAGTGTGGGGATCTCTTGAGTTTATGGAAGAAACTAGTCGTAGGCAAAACACAAGTGAATAGGTGAGGGAAAGGCTGAGTCTAGCGGGACTAGAATGCCACATGAGGTTTGTTTTTGGGAAGAAAAATTGACCCTAATGATTAGTAGTAGTAGAAATTTTTTTTAACCATGTAGGTGTTAACTTGATGTAATCCGATTGACATTGTGAGTTCAAAAGCAACTCAGGCAACCTGTAAAAATATACTTTGACTAAATTTTTTCTCAAGATGATTTTTTTAATATTAAGATAACAATTTATTGGATTAATAATTAGTACTTAAAAGTGTATTTTTATCAAGGTTTTATATCATCATTTTGTACTTGAAGTATCAATAACTACTTAACTAAAGCATGTTTTATAATAATATATCTAATAATATAAAATACCTTTAATTTATGGTAAATGGTCATTTTAAATGCAGGCCTATCACATAAATAAAAGGATTGATTGATGAATTTAAGATGGTAAATGGTCATTTTAAATGCAGGCCTATCACATAAATGAAAGGATTGATTGATGAATTTAAGAACTGAAATTGAAAGGAAAAAGAGATGGCCAAACTTCGAAAAGAGATGTTGGTGCAATCCAAACTGGAATACTATTCAGTAATTGGGTCATATCTGGAGCTATAGGTCTTAAATTTAGGTCTACTTTTATATGGATGGAAAGGTAAGACATAGGCCTACAACTTTCATATGGAGCCCAAGATCTAAAAAGACCATATCCGAATCTGTCTTCCAGCCCGAGCACTGTTTAGTGTTTGGCTCATATCTGGAGTTCTAGAAGTCCAAATGAGCTGAATTTTTTACACAAGAAAGCTGAGACAATTGCCTACAACTTTCATGTTTGCAACTGGCTCCAGTTTTGACGTTATCAATGACGTTTTGGGCAGACAAGAGAAGATAAGGATTGTCACCAAGTCAAAAGTTGGTCACCCACTTATCAATTAGTCATCAAATCAATAGTTCCCAATTTTGGCCTATAAAAGGAGGCATTTGCCATGCATTTAGGCATCTTGGTGTTCAGATCAAGATCATGCTCTTCCTTTCTCTCTTTGTATTTTTTATGCTTTGTTTTCATTAATATTAAGTTTATGCCTTTCATTTCCTTTCCTTTACTTAGTTAACTTTTATGTTCTTATTTTGTTTATCTATTTTGCTTTCTTTCATTATGTCTAGCTAAGTTAATTATGTCAAGGTGAAAAGGTTACACTAATGGTGTGAGAATAAGTATAATGTAAACTTAATATGGACTTTAATGTTTGATACTAACATGTTTTATATTTGTTATCTTGTTTACTCTTTAATACTTTGCTTGTTAAATGATTAATCTTGATTTATGTTGTATAACACTTGGTACAACAAATGCTTGGCACTTTCATAGCCCATAATGTATGGTATAACCGACACCTGAGCTATGAAAGGAACTTGATTTGTTGTTAACATAAGTTATAATCATGAATGCTTGACGAGATTTACAAGTATTAGCATTAATTGAATAAGATGACTAATGTAATCATGTTAACAATATATAATCTGATTGGAACCTCCTTTGTGTGTGGTTTCCAATTCAATAATAAGAGTTTATACTATACTTGTTTGATATACCATTAGTGGAACCTCTAACCTTGACATTTGTTATTATTATTGCTTAATCCTTACATTAATATTTGATCTCCAAGTTCTCATCATCATCATCTTCTTCTTCTTCTCTTTCTTTATTATTATTATTATTATTATTATTATTATTATTAGTACTACTACTACTATTATTATTAGTATTATTATTGCTTCTATTATTATTGTTGTTGTTTATAATTATTGTTTATAATTGTTGTTTATAATTTGTACAATTAACCTCCCTGTGGTTCGACCCCGGTCTTGCCGGGTTATTTATTACTTCGACACTCCTGCACTTGGGAGAAGACATCAATCTTTTAGTCGTGTCAAGTTTTTGGCGCCGTTGCCGGGGAGGTAAGTTCTTGTATAAATTATAGTATTTATTTTATTTTCTCTTTTCACTTTTCTTGTATATAACTTTGTTTCTTTTCTTTTGTTTCTTTTTATTTTGTTTTCTTCCTCCTTCTTTTGCTTTCTTCTTCTTTTTTATTTTATTCCTACACGTGCATGAGAGTGTGGTCACGTACATCAAGTGGTAGACTTTGTAGGGTATCCTCATCATTTTCAGAAAATATGGCCAAAGAAGATAATGAGAAAAATGAGAATAACCGTGCTAGAACACTTAGAGAACAAGTGCACTCTCTAAAATGAGAATAACTGTGCTAGAACACTTAGAGACCACATGAATCCCACAAGAACAAGTGCACCATCATGCATAGTTTTTCCTCCTATTGCATCTCATTTTAATTTTAAACCAGACGTTATTCAACTTTTACCTTCTTTTCATGGCTTAGAATTGGAAAATCCATACTTGCATTTAAGGGAATTTGAGGAGGTCTGCAACACATATAATAATTTAAATTGTAGCATGAACACCATCAGATTAAAGCTTTTTCCTTTTTTACTAAAAGATAAAGCTAAAACATGGCTACAAAATTTGAGACCAGGATCCATTCGTGCTTGGGATGAAATGCAACAACAGTTTTCAAAGAAGTTTTTTCCATCTCATAGAACAAACTCTTTCAAAAGACAAATCACCATTTTCACTCAAAAACCAGGAGAAACATTTTACCAATGTTGGGATAGGTATCGAGACTTGCTTAATACTTGGCCTCATCATGGTTTTGAAACATAGAGATTGGTTTCACATTTTTATGAAGGGTTAACACCCAGAGATAGGCAAATAGTTGAATTGATGTGCAATGGAACTTTTGAAGATAAAGACCCTGATGAAGCAATGAAGTACTTAGACTTGTTATTTGAAAATGCTCAAAATTGGGACACCGCGGGTACATATGAGGCACCGAGTAAAACTCAACCTCATACATCTAGTGGAGGTATGTACAACCTTAGGGAAGATCATGACCTTCAAGCCAAGTTTGCATCTTTAGCTAGAAAAGTCGAGGCACTAGAATTGAAAAAGAGTGGTCAATTAAAATCTGTTGAAAACATTGTGTGTCAAATGTATGAAAGAAATGAACACTCAACCAATAATTTTCCAACCTTGCCTTCTTTTAAGGAATGTTTCCATGAACAAGCCCATGCTTTAAACAGTTTCCAAAGGGCCAACCACAACCCATATTCCCAAACATACAACTCTGGTTGGAGAAATCACCCAAATTTTAGTTGGAAGAGTGATAATAACAATGTACAAACTTCACAACCACCGTTTCAAGCACACCACAATTTTCAAAATTTTCATGGATATGCACCTCCTAGAAGAAATCTTGAGGAAACATTGCATGCATTCATTGAAAAGCAAGAGACAATCAATACTCAACTTGCTCAAAATATGACAGATTTTAAAGATACTCTTGCAAAATTGACATCTGCTCTCAGTTTTCAAGAGAAAGGTAGGTTTCCATCTCAACCACAACAAAATCCCAAGGGGCAATATAATGCAAATGCAAGTAGTTCCGGAAGCCAACACATGGATCAAGTCAAATCAGTCACTACTCTGCGCAGTGGTAAGGTTATTGAAAAACCCTCTCTTGAACCTTATGAGAAAGATGATGAGTCAATCGCTGAGGGTAAGGAAGGGGTTGAATCTAAAAATTGCAAAGAAACGACTGATTCCCTGTCAGTACTTCCATTTCCCCAAGCCATGACCAAACAAAGGAAAGCAATCACAACTCTGAAATTTTTGAAACTTTCAAAGAGGTAAGAATCAATATACCTTTGCTGGATGCTATTAAACAGATTCCTTCCTATGCTAAATTTTTGAAAGATCTATGCACTATGAAGAGGAAACTGAATGTGAAAAAGAAAGTCTTTCTACCTGAACAAGTAAGTGCTATTCTTCAGAACAATAATGCTTTGAAATATAAAGACCCTGACTGTCCTACAATTTCTTGCTTTATTGGAGAACATAAAATTAAAAGAGCCTTACTTGATCTTGGTGCTAGTGTGAATTTACTTCCATAATCAGTTTTTCAGAGTCTCAATTTAGGTGAGTTAAAACCAACTTCTATAACTCTTTTACTTGCTGATAGATCTATAAAAGTGCCTAGAGGAATAATTGAAGATGTGATAGTACCAATCGATAAATTCATTTATCCTGTGGATTTTATTGTCTTGGACACAACCTGTTGAAGTATGTAATTCATTTCTTGTTATTTTAGGACGTCCGTTTCTTGCAACTTCTAATGCATTGATTAATTGTAGGAATGGACTGATGAAGCTATCATTTGAAAACATGACATTGGAGATGAATATTTTTAACATTTATAAGCAACCTGGAGAGGATAATGATTTACAGGAAGTGGACTTTACTGAAAAATTAATTTATGATCAATTTCAAACCACTTCCAGTGAAATTGAGATTGATGAATATGATGATTTGCAAATGGTTTATTTTCAGAAAGAATCAAAGGCAAGTAATTAGAGACCACAAATTGAGGAATTGCCACCATGATCAATTAAGTCCATACCTTCAAGTGTTCAACCACCCAAACCCGATTTCAAGTCGTTGCCATCCAATCTCAAATACTCATTTTTGAGAGAAAATGAAATTTTTTCGGTAATAATCTCTTCCAAACTTAATGCACATCAAGAAGGTAAGTTATTACAAACTCTGAAAATGCATAAAAATACATTAGGATGGACCATAACTGATATAAAAGGAATTAGTCCTTTGATTTGTACACACAGAATTTATTTGGAGGAAAATGCTAAACCCTCTAGAGAAATACAACGAAGGCTAAATCCTAATATCAAAGAAGTAGTGAAAAATGAAGTCATTAAGCTTTTAGATAATGAAATCATTTATCCTATTTCTGACAGTAAATGGGTAAGTCCTACCCAAGTTGTACACAAGAAGTCTGGAGTCACTGTGATAACAAATGAGAACAATGAGTTAATTCCCACTAGAAGTGTTACTGGTTGGCGCATGTGCATTGACTATAGGAAACTTAATTCAATGACTAGAAAATATCATTTTCCTTTACCTTTCATGGATCAAATCCTAGAAAGAGTTGTAGGTCATGAATTTTATTGTTTCCTAGATGGCTTTTCGGGTACAGGTAAGGATCAATATACCTTTGCTGGATGCTATTAAACAGGTTCCTTCCTATGCTAAATTTTTGAAAGATCTATGCACTGTGAAGAGGAAACTGAATGTGAAAAAGAAAGCCTTTCTAGCCGAACAAGTAAGTGCTATTCTTCAGAACAATAATGCTTTGAAATATAAAGACCCTGGTTGTCCTACAATTTCTTGCTTTATTGGAGAGCATAAAATTGAAAGAGCCTTACTTGATCTTGGTGCTAGTGTGAATTTACTTCCATATTCAGTTTTTCAGAGTCTCAATCTAGGTGAGTTAAAACCAACTTCTATAACTCTTTTACTTGCCGATAGATCTATAAAAGTGCCTAGAGGAATAATTGAAGATGTGTTAGTACAAGTCGATAAATTCATTTATCCTGTGGATTTTATTGTCTTGGACACACAACCTGTTGAAGTATGTAATTCATTTCCTGTTATTTTAGGACGTCCATTTCTTGCAACTTCTAATGCATTGATTAATTGTAGGAATGGACTGATGAAGCTATCATTTGGAAACATGACATTGGAGATGAATATTTTCAACATTTGCAAGCAACCTAGAGATGATAATGATTTACAGGAAGTGGACTTTACTGAAAAATTAATTCATGATCAATTTCCAACCACTTCCAATGAAATTGAGATTGATGAATCTGATGATTTGGAAATGATTTATTTTCAGGAAGAATCAAAGACAAGTAATTGGAGGCCACAAATTGAGGAATTGCCACCACGACCAATTAAGTCCATACCTTCAAGTGTTCAACCACCAAAACCTGATTTGAAGCCGTTGCCATCCAATCTCAAATACTCATTTTTGGGAGAAAATGAAACTTTTCCGGTAATAATCTCTTCCAAACTTAATGCACATCAAGAAGGTAAGTTATTACAAACTCTGAAAATGCACAAAAAAGCATTAGGATGGACCATAGCTGATATAAAAGGAATTAGTCCTTTGATTTGTACACACAGAATTTATTTAGAGGAAAATGCTAAACCCTCTAGAGAAATGCAACGAAGGCTAAATCCTAATATGAAAGAAGTAGTGAAAAATGAAGTCATTAAGCTTCTAGATAATGAAATCATTTATCCTATTTCTGACAGCAAATGGGTAAGTCCTACCCAAGTTGTACCTAAGAAGTCTGGAGTCACTGTGATAACAAATGAGAACAATGAGTTAATTCCCACTAGAACTGTTACTGGTTGGCGCATGTGCATTGACTATAGGAAACTTAATTCAATGACTAGAAAAGATCATTTTCCTTTACCTTTCATGGATCAAATCCTAGAAAGAGTTGCAGGTCATGAATTTTATTGTTTCCTAGATGGCTATTCGGGTTACAACCAAATTGAAATTGCATTGGAAGATCAAGAAAAGACTACTTTCACATGTCCATTTGGTACTTTTGCATATCGAAGGATGCCTTTTGGATTATGTAATGCACCAGCCACATTTCAAAGATGCATGCTTAGTATATTTAGCGATATGGTTGAACATTTTCTTGAGATTTTCATGGATGATTTTTCTGTTTTTGGCGATTCATTTGATGATTGTTTGACTAATTTAGGAAAGGTTTTAAGCAGGTGTGAAGAGAAGAATCTTGTGCTGAATTGGGAAAAATGTCATTTTATGGTAACAAACGGCATTGTACTTGGTCACATTGTTTCATCAAAAGGAATTGAGATTGACAAATCTAAAATTGAGTTAATTGCAAACTTGCTAACACCAAAATCTATTAAAGATGTTAGATCATTCCTAAGACATGTGATTGTGCATTAAAAGTGTCATCAAGTCTCTTATTTTACATATATATTTATTGTTTTTATTTGGTTTTTTTTATAATAATTGATGTGCTTTTTAGTAATGAAGTTTGTTTTAATGTTTCGATAGGTTTTTGGAGCTTAAATGAATTAATTCAGGAAATTCAATGTCGGAATTCAAAACAAAGAATTGAAGAGACATTTAGTTGAAGATTGAAGCAAATTTTGGTTCAAATAAGTGCTCCAAATTTATCCCAAAAATCAATTCTATTCCAATTCTAGAAAAGAATATCATATGATCTATTTTAAGCCCAAACTTGCCTTATGTTGTGTGCAAACTTCAACCATTAAACACTCAAGGTTTCAATGTCAATCTTAGCCCAAATAATAGGTATATTTGTATACTTATTTGATACTTAAATTCAGCCCCAAATCAACCTTCAAATCAGCCCAAACACAATCCATGATCTTACATGTCCACACAACAACAATTGATTTATTTTGGGTAATCCATTGATCCAAGAAGGCAAGCACATGGATGGAAAGCTGGAGGGGAAATTTTTACATTATTTTGGGTCAAAAAGAAGAAAGAGATAGCTCATAAATGAGGAAGAAAAACATGCACCAAAGTGGTTGTTCTTTAATGATCTGGAAAGGTGACATAATTTCCTATAAATATGTCCCTAATAGACATCTCGAGAAGAGGCTTTTAAGAGGGTCAAATTGCTGTCCAAAGTTAGAGTCAGATTTGTGTCCGAATTTTTTCTGAAATTGTGTTGTGTTCTTCTTTATAGATTTTGGTTCTTTAGTTTGTAAAACTTATTATTTCAGTTTGATTCAAGTTATTTCATGTTTATTTAAGTGTTCTTATATATAATCATGGTTGGCTAATCTCTTTCTTGGATCCAAATCAAGGATGATGGTGATTGAGGTGAGTTCTTTAGGGTATGAATGAATCTTAATGTTTATCTTCTCATTTTCTTCATGAATGATTTATTATTGCAAAGAAATTTTAGAAATCATTTAGGTAATGTTATAATCTTGAAGTTTTATGCATAAACTTTAGTTTTGGTATAGAGATTGCTTGATTCAATGTCTTACTTAATATGAAAGTACTTGTTCATTCTTAAGCAATAATCAGTCTTCATCTTTCTAAACTTCAGTGTAATATCTTTACTTGTTCATTCTTAAGCAATAATCAATCTTCATCTTTCTAATCTTCATTGTAATATCTTCCGATCTAATATCACCATCGTTGAGATTAGGTTGAGTTATCTTATATATGTTGAAGAAATCACCAATACATCACCATTAAAATTGATTTGGACCAAGACTTACTTTTTCTTGTCATTTAAAATCTATTTACATTTGTTTCATCTTTGAAAACAAATCCATCAATTATTTTCAACCAAGTTATTGTTAATTTAATTTCTCTTGAGTTTTTTTTTTTGTTACCTAGCTTAATTTCCAGATCTAGCTCTCTGTGGATATGACCTCGATCTTACCGAGTTAATTGCTACATCGCACACTCGTGCACTTGCGAGTTAAAACAAGCCGATCATAAAAAGCGGTCAAGCAATATGCTGATTTTTATAGAAGGTTCATCACAGATTTTAGTGTAATTTCTAAGCCTTTAAGTAACCTTCTAACAAAGGATACTATTTTTTAATGGACTAAACATTGTGAAGAAGACTTTGTTAAACTTAAAAACTTGCTTACTTGTGCTCCTATCATTCAACCTCCCGATTGGTCATTACCTTTTGAAATAATGTGTGATGCTAGTGATTATACCGTAGGTGCTGTTTTGGTATAAAGAAAAGATAAGAAACCTTATGTAATTTACTATGCAAGTGAAACTTTAAATATTGCTCAAATGAATTATACCACCACTGAAAAAGAATTGCTTGCAGTAGTATTTGTATGTGAAAAATTCAGGTCTTATCTTATTGGCTGAATTGTTGTTGTTTGTAGTGATCATGTAGCATTGAAATATCTTCTTTCTAAGAAAGATTCTAAGGCTAGATTGGTGCGGTGGATTTTGTTACTTTAAGAATTTGATATCACAATCAAAGATAAGAAAGGCAGCGAAAATGTTGTTGTAGATCACTTGTCAAGATTGATAACAAATTCGAAAACTGACATCACACCAATCGATGACTACTTTCCCGATGAGTCTTTACTTTCCATCTCTACAATGCCTTGGTTTGCTAATATTGTCAATTTTCTTGTTTCAAGACAATTTCCAGCTCATTGGAGTACCTAAGATAAAAGAAAGTTCTTGAACGAAGTGAAGAACTTTTATTGGGATGACCCTTATTTATTCAAATATTGTCCTGATCAAATATTTTGAAGATGCATTCCTGACAATGAGGTAAATAGTGTCATTAAATTTTGTCATTCTAAGGCATGTGGGGGCCATTTCTCATCAAGAAAGACAACTACGAAAATCTTACAAAGTGGATTTTATTGGCCCACCATGTTCAAAGACTCATATGCATTTTGCAAGTCTTGTGAAAATTGTCAAAAGTTGGGAACAATTTCAAAACGTCAAATGATGCCTTTAAATCCTATTCTTGTCATTGAGATTTTTGACTGTTGGGGTATAGATTTCATGGGTCCATTTCCTCCATCATTTGGTTTCTTGTACATATTAGTCGCGTTAGATTATGTTTCAAAATGGATAGAGGCAATTCCAAGTCGAAACAATGATCACAAAATAGTGATAAAGTTTTTGAAAGAAAATATTTTGAGTCGATTTGGAGTCTCTCGAGCCATAATAAGTGATGGTGGAACACATTTCTGCAACAAGCCATTTGAGTCTTTAATGAAGAAATATGAAATCACACACAAAGTTGTCACCCCTTATCACCCTCAAACAAGTGGACAAGTAGAGCTTGCTAATAGGGAGATCAAACATATTTTGGAGAAAACACGAACCCTAATAGGAAAGATTGGTCTTTAAGACTTAATGATGCACTTTAGGCTTATCGAACTGCTTATAAAACATCATTAGGTATGTCACCTTATAGACTAGTCTATGGAAAACCTTGTCACTTACCTCTGGAACTTGAACATAAAGCTTATTGGGCTATTAAAGCTTTCAATTCAAATCTGGATGATGCTAGTCAACTGTGAAAATTACAAATAAATGAGCTTGAGGAAATAAGAAATGATGCATATGAAAATTCAAGAATTCATAAAGCAAGAATCAAAGAGTTTCATGACAAGAA